CTGCTTAGAGCCGAGAAATGTTAACAGCCCATCATGACACCAAGAACACTCAAAGACTGTATTTACAAAGGTTTCTTGATAGAAAGTACACTCTTCAGCGAGCATGAAAGAGTAATCCGATCTCACTATTTAGTTATTTCATGATGTGCCGAATCTCTAATAGAAAATAACTTTTCCGTTGCATCTCATTTCCATACCTCAAGACGCAGTTGCGTCTTTAGCGTTTTTTGTCTTTTTTGTTTTCTTGCACTGTTTTCTTAAACTTAATTGCCTCCGTCTCATCAGTTACATCAGCCAATGAATGAGAAAGGCTGATTTCTAGTATAAGAAATTTTTGCGGGCTTAAATTTTTTTTTAAGTTTGATGTAAATGAAGTGAACGAAGAGACTTTAATTGTATTGTTGTCGTGGACAGACACCTGGCCTTCTAAAGCACAATAGATCGAAATGACAGTCATGGTTGAAAGGAAAAAAAAAATTTTGACAAAACATAATACTTTCAACCGATAGCATTGTCCAAAAAGATAACTCTTTGAGATAAACAAGACGCAAAGTAATTGCTATTAATTGGCCATCTGTCTTGAAAGAGACAGCATAAAGCGGCTCTCGAGATGTGGCCTTGCTTCATTTTCAAAAGCAAAAGAGTAGATCTGAAGCCAAGAAACACGTCCTATTTTTATCTTTACAGTTGTTTCATTTTCTACTGTTGATTCGTCACGACAAACCTTTGAGGACCTGTTCTTTACTGGAATTGAGCTGAAAAGCAATTTCCCTGTCTTCCAGATGTCTCAAAACAGAGCCGGTCATCCGTCGCTTGAGAAGTACGTAGTACTCCTTGCCGATAGACAAATGGGAGTTGTGGTTATGGAAGCACTTGTTTGCGCCGTCCTACTTCTCACAGCTCTGCTGGGGAATTCTTTAGTTTTGTGGATGGTGTGGAAGAACAAAAATCTCCGAACAATTCCAAACCATTTTATCGTTTCCCTTGCTTTTGCCGACATCGGAATGGCAGCCATATGCCAGCCGCCGTGCCTCACGGTCCTCGTGACGGGGAAACGAACTTACGGAAATTTTGTCTGTCAGCTTCAAGGATATGCTATAGCCATGCTGGCTTGTGTGTCACTTTTAACGCTAACCGTGGTCGCTGTAAATCGGTACTTTTTAATCGTCCGTCCGAAGAACTACCAGAAGATCTTCAGCACAAGGAACACTCGTATCATGATTGCTGTTATTTGGCTCGTCTCTCTCGTTGAACCAGTACCTTATCTTGCTTCCAACCATCGTTACGTGTACCATGCGGGGAAGTTCTTTTGTTTTCAAGTCGTCGAAGTCGACTTTTTCACTTTACTCGGGTACATGTTCGTTGTCATTCCCATGTTGGTGCTTTCGTTTTGTTATTACAACGTTTTCAAAGCTTTGAAAGAGCATAACAAACGGTTCCATAGCTTGCGACGCCGAGGAGACCGGCCAAACGCTGCAAGGATCTCTGTTGAGGAGATAAATGTGACAAAAACTTTGTTTCTTACAGTTTGCGCCTTCCTAATCTGTTGGACACCGATTGCCATTGTGGATTTCATAGGGTTTGGACAAGGAGGCTGGAACCTTCCTCGCGAGGTGTACGTGATGTACACATTTTTGGGTCAGTTGAGTACAGTGATAAACCCGGTCATTTATGGCGTCATGAACAAGACCTTCCGAGACGAATACAAGAAGCTGTTTAAATGGAGCGGTGGAGCCGACATAACGCAAGAATCCACTGAAGACACTCCACAGACGCAGGAGAGTAAGTGCTCTGTGCTCTAGAAAATAACTTGACATTTAAATCAGTTGCTCTTTGTTGAAGCCTTAAAATAAAGTAAGATAGTTGAGCTTCTACTTTTATTCCTAGTTTGAAGGAAACATCAATATCTAGTTACAGTAATTAGCTATGCTAGAACCTCGTCACTAAAAACTGTTTTTTCAGTGACACCCGTATGCTCTTACACTGAAAGGCACTAATTTTGACCTGAAGTCGCCTTTTTAACTAGGGCTTTTTTCACGTAACTGAGGTCTGAAGACTCTACACATCAGTGTCGGAGCGTGAGTGTCAGTCTTTACTACAACATGAACCGATTGAAATTTACTTGATAACTGGTGAAGCAGATGCACAATCATTTTTTCGCTCACGTTTGTTTCTGTGACAGGCTTTTGATAACGATAAATTTCTTGAAAAATGCTTCTTTAGAATTGCATAGTATCCATTTTCCAATACAGTTATTGAAGATTAGTGAATGCAGTTACTCCGCAAATGCTTCGATAAAGCGTCCTCGTGTCAGCTTCTACGAAAACTAAAGGGAACATTTGAAACGTGGGTTTTGATTAAACTCAGGAAGGCTACGATTCTATGTCAGTCATTTGATTGACAACGTTTCTTACCACTCTGCGATGTTTACAATACACACTCATTCAATTACTGTGTTTTTTGTGCATGTCAAGACAAGTAAATTTGCTTTATTAAACATATTTACACATTATCTAAGGAGGAAAGTATAACTCAAAGAATGGTAAACTTAGCGCTTAGTCTTCAAATGAAAAAGAAAAGGATGCCACTCATTACGAAGGAAGTCTTTCTTTAGGATTTGGACTTGCATAAAGAAAAAAAGAAGTATAAAAATGTCGTGACCAGGCAAACTGATGTCAATGGTTTGTGATAAGGTGCTATTACATAATTTTCTTCTTGAGCGATGAATGATATCAGATTCGGCTACAATACTGCAACCCATTTGTCATCGACACGTAAGGGAGCTGAGTTATGATGTTAGGATTCAACAACATTTCTCGTAAAGGTGTAAAATGATCATGATGATGATTTCTAAAATAAACGAACTCCTTGTCACTCTTCATAGAAGTAAAAATGACCCAAAAAGAGCTAAATGTTTTCAAGTTTTTAAATGGAGTTTTACATGTTCGGAATGAACCAAGACTTATGGTGCTTGTGATTATATTTGGAGACTTCGAGATAATGAAACTGTAAAATTTTATCCCAAGAAAGTAAAAAGGTTTTACTAATGGTTGCTGGTGATGAACTGTTAGAATATTTAAATAATAAATGATAGAGGGACCGAAAATTAAGTGATCAACTGATAGACTCATAGCTAATAAAAACGAAAAAAAAAAAACAACCAATTTTTACTACAGAATTAGACTTAAGTTCATAGATCAAGACAAGGAATACTGTGTAGTTATGGTGATAAACTGTTGTAAATACCTTTAGGTGAGGACGTTTAACACTGTTTCAACAACTAATAAGATTAATCATTAAAAGCTCAATCTCCAGTTGTTTCGTATGTGTGTGAGTGTGTTTTAAGCAGCTGATTGGGTAAGCATAAAAGAGGGTTTCAACGGGTCAACCGTTAGACGTAAAACGGCAAAGAAAACGTTTTGGCCGGTAGGCTTAAAAATTGGCACATTTTAACTTTCGATAGCTACAGAAGTTAAGCGCATAAGTTTTAACTATCTACGATATGCCATTAATCTGAGTGTCAAACTAAATTTTAGCCTTAAAATGGCCAAAATTTTAATCAGTAGAAGTAAAAGCCATTACCCCACTGAGACCCTCGTAAAGCGCTATTAAATGGAACAGAACTCGTTACTGTTTTGAACCTGGTTAAGTTCAAATATCATTACCCCCAGTAAACTGGAACACATACCCAATTGAAAAAGCCATCACAAAATATGCTTACAACACCATCAGTGACAGCGGGATGGAAATCTCCGAAGCACAGATGCTTACGATCAAAAAGCGAGTAAGGTGGTCGGTAACTGCTACTGATAGACAATATGAAATGAAGGAGCATCTAGTTTAGGCACTTTAGAAAACCACGCTTACTGATTTAGGATGAGGGATCGAAAACAGGCTGAATTAGATTTTAAGTATCGGTCAGTATGTTATTTTGAGTTTTTTGTGAACTAACCCAGCAAGAAAACAAATGATGTGATTTTAAATACCATGGTTAAACGAATCGTTACAGGCTGTTGATTGTTTAGGTTATATGATAAGCTGTTACCACTATCTCTATCAACAATTACCAGTGACTCCCAGTATGGCGAGAAAAACATCCATTTATCCGATTTATCATGATCATAACAGATATGAGGAAAAATCACAAATTTTACAACCTTCTTCAAACACTGTGGCCTGAAAAGGATTTTCGGAGGTCCCTATATTGTGCCAGGTATTGAGCACATCACCCATCTCAGGAGACAAATTTGAGCGAACCGTATTAGTTGTTTAATAAAATTCTAAGAGCTTGCCCAAACACGAGCGTGCCAGTCATGTTATCCGCTCCCGCATTGGGGGCATGCTTCAACCTGCTTCATACGTCCATACAAAAACGACGCCAAGAAACGTAGGTGGAATAAAAAGATTGAAATATTTTTATTCAGAACATCACATTTTAAGAAGCGATCTCTGTAAGAGCGGTCCAGGGTATTTCTATTTTCTGTAGTTTGGCTCTGAAATGTTCATACAGATTTGAATAGCAAAACCAGTCAAAACTCAAATATGCATGAAATAGCAGAAGCCAATTTTTAAACTTTTTAACTACTTTTGACCAATTTCAGAAAGCTGTCTAACGAGTGTTTTTAAATAAATTATGACGAACCCCTAAATAAACAAATATCAAAATTGAAATACTTTTTGTTCACCTAACATATCACACAGTTTAAAACTACAAAATATTTTTTGCTGCACGCGGTGTGATACGAGGACCAGGTTATTCAACTTTTGAAATTTTCGATGTCGCAAGAGGTCAAAAAAGGGCCTTTAGCAGCTTTGACTTTTGAGAGCTCTAAAAATTTTATTTTAACGTATTTCCAGAAACTAATGTGGTTTTATTTACTTGCTACCAAAGATAGTTTATTGGGCAAAGTTCGAGGGAAAACTTTTTTCCGATGCGAAATACCCTGGACCGCTCTTACAGAGATCGCCTCTTAAAGATTTAGTACTATATTTATCTAGTATAACGGTATAATTCGTTTTTATTTTCATCATTTTTATTTGCCCAATTTTTGGAACAAATGACAAAAAGTAACTACTGTTTATTCTAGACAAATGAGGTGTAAAATGCTAATTTTGATTGGCATTTTTACCATCTAATCACAAAAATAAAACGCTTCTATGATATTGATGTAAAATAATGTAATTATATCGATAATTAAATGATATATTTTAGATTTTCCTTTAGCAATTCTCGGTCCAGAATACATTGATAACAAAAGTAAATAAAAGGAAGCTCTGAGTGAGTGAGATCCTACCTTATTACCTATGTTTATTAAAATATCGCTATTTGCATATAATTTCCATTCAGCAGAATACTTTTATACGCACTCACAGCGTGTGTTTTGCAGAAATAAATAAGTAACGGTAATCGTTTAGTTACATTGAAGTTCAAATTTATGTATACGCATTTTTTTATGGTACAGCGTTGATTTCTACTCTCTTGAATTTTAAAAAAGGATGCAAGAGTCTGAACATTCTTAACTTTTGATGACTCAGCCTGAAGCTTCAGTCTGTTTTGAAAAAAAAAGAGGAAGAAAGGCTCGTCCTGAATGTCGAGTCAGCACTTTATGTTTGCTCGTTCAGAACAAACCGTCGATGAATTATGGTTTTGATCTCTTGGGGCAACGTTAACTTTTAGTCCCTTTTTACTACGTAATACAAGCACTGTGAGAAGGTCCTCCATAGACACCATGTTATCTTCATTAACCGTAAGCTCAAACCTAAAATGCCGAAAATAAAAAAAAAAAAATGATACGATTTACTATGACACCGGGGCCGATTAACACGGCACAACTTTGCGGCATGCGACAAGCTTGTGACAGGCAGACGACACGTCTCAGGACCCTTTGATTACACGCGCACGACATTTTCACCCACGACATGCCAAAATACCGTACGTTTTCACTCCCCATTAAAGTATTCCATGCGCCGATTATTGAAGAACTTCTACTTTACTCCACAACGAAATGAGTTTCTCTTTCTCCTCTCCTGAAAAAGGTATCTTCGCCTTTGTATTCGACCGAAAAAATTGAGGTAATATAGTTTATTTACTTTACTTGACTTACCGATGCAATATCATAGCTATTGTAGATTTGATCTCCGCCATTGCAAAATTCTTTCCTATACAGTTTCTGAAACACCAATTTGAAATGAGATTTATATCTGAGAAGGGATGGTGCTCAGAAATTAGGAAACTTTGATTTCTACATCAGAAATGTGACAATACGTGTGTGCTATTAAAATCGGAGGAACTTTTTTTAAAACTGGTGAGCAGATTAGTCTTATAATAGAGCAAATTGAATGATCCAAATTGTTATGCCATAAGATTGCATGATGCGGTCAATGGGTCAAGTAAAATTACTTACCCGTTAGACTTGGTATTTTATATTTTCGTACTGATTGGTTACAAAATCAACAAGAAATTGGAAGTTTAGACAGGTATGGATAATTAGAATAACCGAATACCATCAACACAACAAAGTTCCCTGAACATTCGGAGTAAAAAATCCTGCAACGTGTAATATCTCATTTGTGATTTTTGAAAGATAGAAATTTACCTTCTTCCGGATGAAAATGGAATGAAAGTGTGCGATGGCCGTTTTTTGGTGTTCTCCTCTGTGAACCGCAAAGGATCAAATACCTAGGGGTGAAATAAATCACATAAGACGGCTAATTTAATTCCATTTAAATTACAGCCAAGCTACCAAGTCCATTCCCTACATGCCTTTTTTCTTTTTGTATAGGTCACTTTTAGCATAAAGCTGTGATGAAAAAGAATGATGAAGTAAGAGGAACTGTTGCAGTTAGGCAACATTTGCAAAGATGTTTTGTCACGTTTACAACCACACCCTAGCCTCTTCAAAAATTAAAAAGAATGGAGAAAAAACGTATGATTGCCATACTGACGCGAACAGTAAAGCCGTAACAACATCTTAAGGCTTTTATTATTGGTAAGCAACAGTTCCGAGTGATTTGTGAGAGGCGCGTGACTGCATTTTTATGCGAACTCACCTCTGGATTTTTCCAAATGTAAGGGTTACGATGAATAGCGAAGATGTTGACATACAGAAAAGTACCTGTGTCAAAATAATTAATCATCGTCAATCATCCAATGCCTTTATTATCTACTTCTGGTATCAAGTTATCAAATACTGTTTCCAGATTGTCAGTTTTTTCAGCTTTTTCACACACAAAAACATCTGATTTAGTTCCAAGAGTTGTGCAAGAACGCAACTCGAGTTTCAAACTCGCCCCAAATGTTCCTTTACTTTATATTCTCACTTCTGGAACATATTGCCAGGACATATCTGCTTGATGTACTGCCTTAATTTATATACCTGAAGGGAGGGTCCTTCCTTGAATTTCATATTCTTTGTCCGATAAACGACATATAATCGGAACTGGACTGTACAGACGCATTGACTCATTGATGCAAAGCTTGAGATAAGGAACATTGCAGAGATCCGCTCTGTGGAGGAAACAGTAGGAATTATAAAAAAAAAACCCTGCTTGAAATAACACTTGCACCATTTCATATCATAAAATACAGGCAACCGAACAGAACCGAATCAACTATAATTTAACAGTCATGAGAAGGATCTTAATCTTTGGGTTTTTCAGTTGGATTTTACACAGTTACATAGTTTTATGGTCTGTGGAATGGTCTGAGAACATCCGATGCATTAACTGTGGATGCGAAGTGAAGACCTTATTCGACAGATTGATGCAATTTTCCTCACCTGTTGAGATAAATTACTAAGTATAGTGATTTTTTTCCTTTTGGCAAAGTTTGACTCACCGTTGTAAATCATTTCCATTTTCAAAAAGTAAATCAATTTCTTCCCGGCATTTCTGCTGGTGCTCAGGGTAGAGTGCTAGGCAGTAGAGGATCCAACTGATTGCTGTAGGAACAAGACATATTACCTTTTGATTAAATCGCAGCGTATTTTGATATATCAACATACATATCTTGCGGTTCATTTCTTTCAATATTGGTTTCATTTTCGTTAAACTGTGGGCAGCTACATTTATGTATGATACATCAGTTCGAAACAAAGGCAATTACATGTAGAATAAAATTTGAACTCTAGCCTACACACAAACCACAAGAGGTTCAAGTCTCATTTAACCCTTTAACTCCCAAGATCTCATTAGTAGCTCTCCTTACTGTCTGCCACACATGTTAGTTTGGAGAATTTGGTATTGGATCAACTTATAATCCCCTAATTGATATTTTTCTGTATTCCCATCGCTTGTCTGTTTGATATCGTATTGATATTGTAAGGAGAAATTTTGTCTTAGTCGCTAATGGGACTTCAAGGGTCAATTAATCTTCACAATTTTTGACTCGACGTATGGTCAAGATATAATCAAATCAGTTTTAAGTGATGCAACGGCAAAATTTTGTCGAAAGTTGTCCTTGATTAAGTTTCCTTTCCTCTAAATCACGTCAGGAGAACAATCAGTGATTGATTCTCCAACTAAAAAATCCAAAAGTACGAAGAATCAGGCATTGATCAATATAATGAAAGCAGCATTTACCGCTGGTCACCGTGTCAAGTCCCGCAAACATGAATGTTCTTACTTCAGCTCGAATCTCTTCATCCGTTAATCCTTGTCCATCATCGCGCTTAAAAAATAAAAAGGAAAAATATGAATATGATGATATAAATGTGGTATTATATCACTAATCAGGAGAGATAATAGGCAGTTATAGAGCCAGCGATTTAAGAATCAATAAATAATCTGTGAAGCTTTGTTCGTTGTTGACGGCGTCTAAGGAATTTCAATTGGTTCTTCGAAGACGTGATATAAAAGGTGTAACAGTCAACACACAGAGGTGTAAGGCAATCATACCCTGGCTTCAAGAAGAATGTCGAGGAAGTCAAAATGCTCTTGTCTTCTCAAAGCCTCTTCTTCTGGCTAAAAATTGAAATTTTCATCAGTTGTGTTGTTAAGGAACTTATAATGCAAATATACACAGGACGCTCGAACTTGAGAAACCCCTTTTTTCTGCACGTGTTGAGTTTCTTGCTGAAGCAGAATGCGATGAGCAGATGAGAAAAATTTGGGAAGCAGGATGGATATTTCTGGATCCTCATAGGATCTTCGGAAACGGTAATAATCTAAAACTGACTTGGGCACATACGCTGGGAGGATTCAGTCTCTATGCTCGATCATCAACTGGTTAGGCCCGGCCAAGTACGAGGTTGAAGCCTTATAACAAATTAATATTTATTGCTCCTAAACGGGGAGTAAGAAATATTGATGCTGATGTATTAATAAATGACTATTGTATGCATAATACTGTAAGTCTCAAAAATGTATAACAGAATTGTTGCAAGGCATGTATAGTAAAACGGCCTAGCGATGTGTGGCACTCGCTATATTATCATCTATCGATTACCCTTTCCATCAGAGCCTTTCTTCTTTTCTTGATAATTTCATCTGCCTTGCAACCAACAATCTCAGAATTCTTTTTGAACCTTCTTCCCGCGGACGTCAGATTGTAAACAAAATCTGAATGGTGCAGAGGAGTCCTGATTAAGAGAAAGAGTTTCATCAACACTTTGATAATTTTTTTTTACTCTTAATGTTCCTTGAAGTTGTTAATAAAAAGTGTCAGCGAAACGGTTTGATTTTCCTATTTCACGTAAAATCATGTTGTAACTTGGCAAGGGAGACAACCTTTTTTGATTCCAAAACGTTTACAACGGAGTATAGCGGCACATTCATGACAAAATCTGAGAACTTCTTCCTGAAATTTTTTGAAAACTTCTTGGAGGTCTTTTGAGGGTAAAACATGTCAAATGGTCAATGATCAGAGAGATTAGTAGGTAACTGAAAACTATGGCAATGATGATAATTAAAATGGTGATAATGATAATGATAAAACTTTGTTACCGAAACCGATCCATAATTGCTTGAGTATTTTCGTGAACTGCTCTCAGGAAGGAGTCATGTGTGCTGAGGAAAACAATAACATTGGAGATAAGTACCTGCTTGATGACTGACTGAACCTTCAGCTTAATACAAATTACCACAAGAGAAAGGCAAAGAGTTCTGCCGAGGCCATTTTCACCCCATCAGAACCCACGAGTCTAATCTCTTCTTCAAGAGCATCGACGGTTCTTGAAGTCAACAACACAACGCCATCCTTCTCGGAATGCGCAAAATTTTTCCGAGTGCACCCCAATTTTGGACAGACTTTCCTACCAGCCCAAATCCCAGCGTATAAATTCATGAAAGAAATCCACGCCCCTTGTATTGAATTACCAATTAGCAGAACATGGCATCAAAGCCACGACGAGATCATTTGCGTAGCCTCTCTCTTCCCCCCCACCCCCCACCCCCCACCCCCCACCCCCTTCGCCGGTCTTTTAACGATTACCTCCGAGCATATCGTTAAGTTTCCCAACTGTTGGCTGCGATTCTTTCTTACGCCAGAGTCGAGGAAACAAAAAAATCGATACCTTTCCCTATCAAGTCAAGCCCGTTGACAATTTAGCTTTGCACTAACTAGCGCAACTCTCCACTTTTCTATCGTCAAACCGAGTCAATGTTCATGGATTTGACGATTTTGGTGATTTTTAGTCAAATTCGTCAAAGCGAAATCATCTTGACGGATTTTCGCCATTTTCGTTATTGCATGCATTTCTGGATATATCTCCGCGCAGTGCAACTATTCATGAGAAGTCAGATGCAAATTAAATAATAAACAATAAAGCAAATTATCTTTTCACTTGACAGTCACTCCAGTAACTGAAGGCGCATTTCAAGATGGAGTCAAACGTCAACAACCCTATATCATGAAAGAGCTCCACCTCTCTGCTCGGGGACGACGCCCATTTACCCTGAAAAGCAATAACATAATCGAGTGAATATGTATTTGATCAGAGATATAAACGCCTGCAAATGGAAAATCTTTGAATTTGCAATATGTCGATTTTCTTAGAGTTCATTCAGCAGTGAAAGCTATAAAACCTCACTCACGCTTGTTCTTGTTTTTAATTGATCTTTTATTTATTTATTTAATCATTTTTGGGAAACACAAAAGACTTCAGGCTTGTAACGCCTTAGTTAATCGAGGTTTCCTTAACTTAATCTGCATCGAAGTCACTCCTTTATATAATATGGGGCATTCACTGTATCAGCTGGCCGTTGTCGCTCGCTGTTAGGCGTCAGCAATTAGCCACTCTGCCGATGTTTTTCCAAACATTAAAATAGGAGCAATAGTTATCTCCAGTGACTTTGATTATCATATACAAGTTATCGATTTACCAATAAAATATCTGCAGATTCTTGGAAAATCTTGATGTATGGTTGAATAGTTTCGAAGTGGAAAGCTGGAGTTAGAAGTCTCCGCGAATTTTTCCATCTCTCTCCTTCTTGGAGACCGAGACCAACACCTAAAAGTCCGAAAAATATCCAATCAAAGTTAAAAAAGATATAAAAATAAAGGAAAAAGGAAAACGTTGACCGACTACAGATACAAAACAGTCTAGCCGCGGGAAAAAACTAACTTGAAGCTCTCCATTATGGTAATTCAGCTCGTGATTAATCCTCCGAATAAAAGAACGCGATTATCTTCGCAGGTGAGCTGCGATCTCAGAAATTGCAGAAACACAAAGCTGAAAAAGGAAAAAATTTAAGCTCCAACTGAGCAACGAAGCCACACATAGGGAGCGAGACAAATTTAAGAGGGTTCCTTTTTCCTGTAAAGGAATTTCATTCGACCAGCGGATTGAAAATTGCAGCGCATCAGCGAGAATCATTTCTTTATTTTATTTTTAAAGAAAGGCTGTGAATTGATCTAATAACACGAGCTAAAAAATAAAGACGTAAACAATTTAGAATTTTCTTTCAAGATTTGAGAACCAATACAAAACACTTGTTTTCATTTTTTCTATCTCAAGTATAAACACTGTCGATTGATGTACCTAGAAATGCAGCCAACAGGTGGCTGACAGTTTTTTTTAAGCGACATGTTTTTGCTATAAGTAAAGAAGTATGTTTGGTCTAGGTGCGTGCCTTGAGGGAAAGTACACATAGTTTGGGTGACCAAATATTTATTTGCTACGACCTTGAACACGTTTTTGTTTACGTTTATGGAGTAAGCGGTTATAAGGCTTCCAGAAGTATAAGCTTGTAGAAAACAAGCTAAGAAGATACAACATCAGTCCTACTAATAGGTTCCAATAAAAGCTGATATAACCCCTGGCGCACACCTCATGTAATACACATCATAATCACCGAATCAACAGGATTAAGTAACTGCCACAGTTTTAATTACAAATCATTTCTAATTGGAAGTTTATAAATGCTCTATTACACCGATACTACCGAAGAACAACACATCAAGTGATGATTACTCAAACCCCTGATCGTCTCAGTGGAACCACGTGGTCATTAACTCTTAGTGTTTGTTCCCTAATTTTAAGCATGTGAAGCACTAGGGCGGCTGACAAATAAAACAAACCACCCTCTTAAGCTGATCTCTTATCGCCAGTGACATACATCACTTATTCATAATGTCAACCCAAAAGTATGTTATTATAAGGTGTGATGACGTATGTACATGACAAGGATAATACCTCTAAACCACGAAAACTCGAGAGTCTCTTTCATTGCTTTGGTTTAGGACTTGATGAAAAGTCCAGACAAGATCTTTGATTCTTGAACGGAACAGCCTACTAAAACTGAACTTCCGAAGAGAATAAAGCTTGGGTGATCCAATGACAAATCTTTGCTTCTGAAGATACTCATATTTCTCCCCAGGAAAAAATAAAGCTCTTTCCTTGAACTTAAAGGCTTAAAAGGATACCATAAGATCATGCACTAACTGACTCTTCATGTCATAATTATGCCCAACCCGCTTATCTTCACACAGAAAGTAGTTATTCTGGTTTCGAGACTGTTATATGAATTGAGCGTTCACTGTGCATTTATGAAAAGCAAATTCCCACGTTTCCCTTTCCGCGTCAAGCGAATCCCCTCGTCATGGAGCTATAAAGATCTAAAATGACGTTTGGTTCAAATATTGCATGGTGCAACAGAATCCTGCAGTGTTTTAAACAAAACACTTTTTCAGTACTGAAAACAACCACAAGGTTATGGCCACCATGTAAAAAATTCAAATACGATGGCTTAACTTTTTAATTGATCTACACTTTTTATGTGACAAAAGGGTCTACTTTGGCGCCCTGGAATAAGTGTTTTACTTCGCACATGGTCTACATTCGACAGGCGCCAAGTTTAACACGTAAACAAACACCAGTAAGCAAACAGCACCTCCTTATCGATTGTTTTGACTTTCAAAAGGTTGCGACAGGCGGAAACTATTATGTCAGTTGTATTTTTGCGGTTCGCTGCCGTAGGGCATTGCGGTAACTGAGTAAACAAGTCCGGACTTTATTTAACGTTCACATCAAAGTAAACCGGAAATGCTTTGTTTAATTGTTAAAGCGAGGAAAGACATACGAGTCAGGGCTTATTACTACCAAATGAGACTCATTTGATTTTGCTGCTAAAGAACAGATTAGATTCATTTGATATCATTGTTTCCCAAACTAGCTAAAAACAATATATTTTCGGAATCTAGAAGAGGACAGCACATTTTCCCTAACAAAGCCTTAAGCTTCCATAATTTTGGCAGTAAATTTGGCGACTTCCTCACTGACTTTTATCTCATTATTTAAAATATAAAGTTTGATAACTTAAAAAATCTGTGAGCTTAGTAACCTTGGTTAAATTCTGCAAAACCCCATTTTCTCGGTTTTCCAACGCACTACTAGTGAAAAATCTCGTCCAAGTTAGTTAGTAAGAGGGTTTCTCTTAGGCGCTTATGCTATAGAAAGCAGGATCAGCTTGGAATGCAATGGATCACAACGCTCGTGAGACTTGATCTCTCGTAGATTTAAAAAAGTAATCGTCCGAAGTGATTTTCATCAAAAAATGCTCGATTCGCCCTGGTGGAAGCTTATCATGGCGAATACTCAAATTTTTGACGGTAGTGTAACGGACATGGGCTTAAGATGCTAGTCTACTTTGTGTCCTCTTCATAGTGAAGTGCAACGTCAAACAAATCATTTGCAAGGAATATCTTTTTAAATCCTAAATAGGGCAAACAATTTATGAGCAAAGCGGCAATATACAATATAAAGATAGCGAATGTCAAAGACCAAATATGGTCTTACTCAATCTTACCTGTTCTAAATGTCCTTTGATTAGATGGCATGGTGGACCATCAAAGTTACGGACTTGAGAGTAAGCTCTTCCCAGAACGAAGATGAAAGAAACTGCGATGCTGAAGACTGCGATTGCAAATACAGACAGTAGGAAAGAGAGCGGCGTCCATGACAAAGAGGGCCACTCGAGCACTACAAACATTTTTGATAGAAAGATTGCGTGCGGAGTACTCCGCTGACACTAATCGTTGATTAGTGAGAACGCCAACAATTACCTAAAAAGACGAAGATTACGAAAAGAGCGATTAACTAGGCTCAAAAGAATTGAAGGTGTGCGGTATCTGTTAAACACTGGTACATTCTTGCCGTAAGGGAAACTGTCTCAGCGGCCCACGTGCGCTTATCACGCTCCAACTTTCGATCACTCAATGCCGCTATCGCGAAGGCGGACAAACGAGCCATAAGATAATGGGTATATTTGATTTTCTAAGAATGTTAAATCTTTTTAATTAATACCCCTTTCTGTCAGCATCTGGTTCCTACCACTACCTGCCTAATTAAGAAGTGAATATTAACCAGATTGAAATTTGTTTTCAACCTACCTTATGATCGCTGGAAAAAGCGACTCCTTGAAACAGACAACAATATTGCAAAGGGAAGTCGCTCGCAAGCCTTTGAAAACCTACACTGATTGTACCGTGCGAGATCAAGGTAGATGCTTTTACAACGAGCTTCCGCTGAGAACGAGGCGGCGGAATTTTTGTTTTTCCTTGTCAGAAAACGTCTGGAAATATTCCACATCCTAGCAACTATGGGCGCATTCCGCATTACGCACGATCATTGACCACGAGGAATGCATTATATGTTTCTGTGTATCTTGCGACTATGTTGTGAGAGGAGATTAAGTTTAGTATCATGTGTCCGCACAGCGGTTATGTTTGATGCTCAATGATTATTTCTTTATTGACGATCTATTATTAAGTCAGTCATAAAAGAAACGTTGAGACAGAAATAGATACATAACACAGTGATGTCTTTACATAGAACAACGAATGCTTTTCTGTTTTGAGGTTTGTAATGTCAGAATCACGTATCCATTCCTTAGAGCTTGACCCCTCTTTGAAAATGACAAATCCTTCAAGCCGCAGCCGATGGCACTGGTATTGATGGAATGCGGTAACAGTCGTTCGCACTGAGATGAAAATCGTAAGTGATATCTTTAGGTTGTTTTTGAAACCTCTTTAAGGTCCATGACCTCCCATTAAGCTCAGATTATAAGTCTGGTTAACTAAACATATCTCATATCTATGTTTCTCACGCATTTTTTGAAAGTATGGTTTATGCGGTTTTGGTATCGTAACGTTTAAAGGGTTCTCATTAGTTGCCTATAGTTGCATAAAATAGTGTAATATTTTGCGCCAATTTCAAGCCTCATGTTTCTCAACATCTTGAAGATAAATATAACCAAATTTGATCCTAGCATTTGGTGAACTTAAGCAAAAATATCTTGCGTAAGTAATAATCCTTATTGACCGGCTGATTTTCAGTGGATTACATATGCACCTTCCTAAACCTTATTTTCCCTGATGAATTCAAGTTGCAAATTTACTTAGGGTTAGAAAAGGAATACGGAAACACATTGAAGGGAAGTTCTTGTCACTTTTCAATTTCAGTGCTACGATATCAGTCATGGGAAGTGGCTCAGTTTACGGTTCACAGTTAGACCAACCCTAACAAAATGCCATAATCCCCCTAAATTATTTATAAAATTTACATCAGTTTTCTAAGGAAAAAAAAAAATTATGCATTAAAAGTAACCTGGAGATTCGAGCCGTACTGAGCCAACTTCAGAGCAACGTTGTGTTCGAACACGCTTAACTGAGACAAATGGCCTTGTTTTCTGCGTTTAAAGCTTTAGCAACACAGACGGCCATGTGTCTACGACATTAGCCAGGTACTTTGTCAAATCATTGTTTACCGGCCTCCTTTAGTTTTTATAGCCGAAATTTAGGTGATTCCTGAACAACCCCTCCTTCAGACAGTCTTTTTGATTGATTTGTATCAGCCTTATTTCGATTCCGTTTCCAAATGAAGATCTTTTTACCAAGCTCCTCGACTATTCTGACGGATGGCATTCCGACATGTATCTGAGAATCATGGGATGGACTTGTTCATAACAACACGGCATATGATGAACAATGTCTGCTTTTCACTAACAGTGGCATTTGTGGTTTTCTAACTACTTAGAGGTTGTTGCACTTGACTTAGTAGCTCTCTAACTTTGATTGCATTTTTAAGTTTATTTTCTTTATCTAACTGTTGCTGCTGCTTTCAACTCTTTTTTTGCTCGAATTGGTTGTAGTGTAATGCTTTGCTTTCTCTCAATTTTCCTATAGCAAGGAAGTCTTACATCGGTACAGCTGAGATCTTGTATTAGGAACTCATCTATAATCATGAGCTTTTTGACCGATTCTAGCTGAATGAAACGAGTGATAATCGCCTTAAGCCGGCTTATTCCCAGTGTTATTTCTTCTCACTTCAAAGAGGAAGATAGGCTATGTTCGGCATCTCCTTGGGACGAGATGGAATTATCAGGCATGACTGAATAACAATGCTTTCCATGTGTCAGTTTCGAGATTAGATCATGCCACTCAATATAAGGATCCGCAGGCTTCATTCGAAACAGTTAGACGCTCCCTTCATTTGCTTATGCTACAAACTTTCTTCTGGCGTCGAATTGTTTTAACCATAAACGATGCAATTTAAAATTGCATGTGCTCTGTTAAGGGCATTATTTATTACTGTGATACATGTTTTTTTTTCTTTCACCATGGTGATTCTGTACAAGAGTAATCTGCTCAACCTATAAACTCGTCAATTTTGTTTTAAATTGACTGTGTCCTACTCTACTCCAAATCTCTTTAGGGATTGCAAAATCAAGCCATACACTAGCCCTGTTTGAATTTGATCAATCACTAAGTAATTGAACGGCAATTTTCAGTTGCTAAGTTTTAAGATGATAATCACTTGGGCGCTTGATTGGCTAAAGTAAGTCTCTGAGATCGTCATTTTCCGGTCGTAACCACAAAGTTATCTTGCGGGTTTGCCAGCGCTCGAGAGTTTATCTTAAATCTTATGCCAAGCCAATTTGTGAAATGGAATTAATTTGTTTTATCACGTAATACTTGCTATAGGTATTCTCGCTTTGACTGGGATTTGTGCATGCTGTCTTCTGGCGCCGACAAGAATAAGTTTGATGAACATCATCTTAGTGACTGCCTTAATTAGCCGTAATTACAGTAAACAAACAGATGTTTAAAGAACTCGTGATCGAGAACACTCTTAAATTTGCAAACTATGTCAAAATTGGAAAGAATTCAGAGGATCCCTCGTATCACAACATGTAGCTCACGTCTCATCATGAATCTTAACTGCGTTTAACGAGATGTTACGCTATCACTCTCAGAAAATGACATAACCTGTTGGAAAGCTCACCTTAAAACACGTTTTCCGCAATGAAAAGTCAGTAGAAATATGCGACTTGGACTTTTGCCTGTTGAGGTTGGGAACATTAACCTCAAACAGAACATATGGAATCAGTCGAGGGAAACTAGATAGCTGTGCAGAATTTCGAAAGAAGTTTCTAAAAATAAGTGCCGCTTTTTTTTTTTCTTTCCTTTTTAAATCAGTAGGCTCAATAAAAAGATTATAACGACAACACTTGAAAATCAACATTAACAAGAGCAAACAAAAATGACTAAGCACGCAGGAAAACCCACTTTTCGACGCATGAGAGCCAAAAAAAAAATTCCCCCCCCCCTTATTTCATATTGAGCGTTTTCTGGATTAAGGGAAGGTACGTTTTTTCTTGGGGGGGGAGGGATGGGGAATTTTGGTATTTTTTCCAAAAGAAAGTGTTGGCCCTCCCTCATGTTTTGATTAAAAAACTCCTGGCCCCCCCCACTTTTAGGTGACTGACAAAAGTGTGACCCTCCCCTCACTACCACATGGTATGCTCCATGCCATAGAAACCTCAGAACATTTTTCGACATTTTGCTTGTAAACGCAAAATGTTTGAATATGAATAAATCTCGATATTGAATATGTGCGCGCTGAAACAAGAAAATGCGAACGATCAGTGTGGGATCCGGGCTTTACTTTTTTTTATATAGATGAAGTTTTAATATGGAAGTATAATATACATGCAGACACCCAGTAACCTTGTAAAACTAGTATCTGCACCGAATTAAAAGATACAAGTTGAAAAGAAAAAACTTAGTCTGTGAAAGAAAAATGGAAAATAACATCACAAATATCTCCATTAAAAATTCTGGAAAAGGTGTGACCCTCCCCTTGAATAGCGGAAAAGAGGGTATGGCCCTCCCCCTTTGTTGCTCACTTTCACTGATGACCCTCCCCTCTGAGGCCCCAGCCCTCCCCCCCCCTCACCCAAGAAAAAACGTACCTTCCCTAAGTAAGAAAAAGGGAGAACTCGAAAACTGCATGTTCTGCAATTTGTTGACAATTGAAGTATTTAAGATAATTTGCCTTGCAGCCGACATTCAGATCGATTCTTAAAGCCTCATTATAGCAGATTATCCAAAACCACGAGTACTGGAAAGCCGGTTGTCGTCCAACTTAATGCCGACCTCAAGTTTCAACTGAATCTTATTAGATACAAAACTTGGAAATACTGTCGACAAAAACACGAAAACTGCTTGCGAATACGACTATCCGTCGTTTCGAGACCTTGTGCAATTAACCAATAATATATCTTATATTATTGGTTTTCGAACTTCAGGTTAGTGGTTTTGATTAAGGAACGAAAAAATGCAAACGATACAAATAAAAAAAAACCTAAGCAAAAAGTACTTCGGCTGATTCATGTCGTTTCTGACACTACTCGTACTCCAAGAGCTTCCCTGAAGTAAATTCAGCGACTCAGTCCATAGGCTGATTATTTGTGCCATTTCAAAATCTGGATACGAAGGGGATTAATCACTCAACCAATGACCACTTACTCATTGTCTTCGTTCCGTCCTGAAATACATATGGTCACTGCCACAGAACCCTTCTTCACTTCTTCAATATTCTTCTTTGGCAGCTCGCTGCTCACCCAGGTTCTGTTTATCTCTTAAACGGGCTTATATTACATTGCGATCATTTTCAGTGAAATAAAAGATTTGTTCCAGACTTAATGTACTATGAGAGAGCAATTTATAACATATGCTGTTCACGTATAGTCCCCAAGAAACACAATTAACCAACTGACGGGCTACGCTAAACAAACAAAAAAAGACAAATAGAAAAAAAGGGAGAAGAAATTAGAAGCCAGTCCTAGATGCTACCCGCCGATCGATAATTGAAAAAATCAACGCGAGAGCTCGGCAAAAGTGAAATTTTGACACAAACAGACTAATCTCACCAAGCAAGTACTCAGTTAAACTCATTAATGCAAATAACTTATCATTTGGGTCAAAATCAACTTGACGCTCTGCTTGCCCTTACTCTCTATAGAAGTTGAATATATTTTCCTAAAAACACTAATTTTTCTACAAATGAATATCAAAATAACCATGCATCAATAAATGGCTGTATCGTCGTCATTGTCATTAATAAGGTCAACACATTTAGCCGTTTTTGCGGTCGAAGAACGTTTGACAGTAGTTCAGATAATTTCCTCGAGGCAAACTCCGTGATATCAATTTATTGTAGTGTACTAAAGCGCACGTATGACTTTAATTTTCCTGTTAAACTTTATGAGATCAAATGCTTTAGAATGTCTGATAACCTTTAGGAGGCGTGGTAAGAATTTCTGGTCGCGTGCCGTGTGGTTAATTGAAGTGACAGATGTTGTTTGGCTTCTATCATCTTTGATTTGCAAGTAAACAGGAAGAAGTTAGGAAATATTTAGCTATACTTCAAGCCTGGTTCAGACTGGTTTGCTTTTAGTTTAAAACCGTTTTCGCTACCATTCAATGTGCTGATATTTGTCAGCAGAACGGCTTTATTGCAGTCAGAAGTTCAATTATATCAGCATGGATTTGATTAAAATACTTTTTAATCTACACCAAAGTACATCGTCAACGCACGTTGTCTGAACATTTGGCTTCGTGGTTCAACCAGGCACGCGTCAAACTTGTGATAAGGTTATCAAAACGAAATTAAGTTGTAATCAACCTTGAGTAAAGATAAGGAATATTGACGACAAATGTATTATTAGTACAATACAAACTGGACGCATATTCAGGAAATGGAAATCTACTATTACTGAATAAACTTTAAGGTTCATTCAATCAACTTGATGATAGAATGATCCTTTAAAGAATCTGCGACTATCCTTGAATTACCTCTTCACTTAATTTTCGGCTGGGA